GGAGTATTTTTCTTAGCTGGGTTTTATCTGTTCCATTCATATGAATGCGGACTACATGGAATTGGAAAGATAATAAAGTCCTATGAGGAGACAATGGTGGTATCCTGAGTGTGAAACAGTATCTACTAGGTTGATTGTTGAACCATGATGAGTAGGTATTATTGATTTGATATAACATTGGAATACGAAAACATGTTGGAAAAATCAAATGGACCATGGCATCACTTCACGTTCCTGGGCTGCGGCAAGTGAATCCGAAGTAAACAGTCGTGATGTTTTGTGTAGTTTTCATCAGCGACCGATTTAGGATTAAGATTTAGGTATTACAATAACCGCCGGAAGAAGATAAAGGACAAGAACAGCAAAAATAAGCTGGAACAAAATCTGAGAAAAGAGAAAGCAAAAATTACGACAATATTTTGCTCAATTCCTAATTTTCCAGATGAAATGAACACTTGAAGGAGACATTGGAGTGTTTCACTTGGTTTCCTGAAGCTCATCATCAGAAACGATTTCCTCTATAAAGGAAACTTTGAAATAAATGCTTGTTACTTAAATCAATGACTATTAATAAAGAAGGACAATTTAAATAAATAATCAATAATTATTTAATACTTTACTTTTCCTAGATTTCCGGTTCGTGTTTTTTTATTAGTTACGGCGCTGATGGAAAGTGGGATGCACCCAAAAAATTTCATTCAGATCGAAGATTATCCTGGGTAGTGGAGAAATTTGAAGCGCAAACAAAAATTAGGATTCAGGAAGCCTTGCACTCGCCAACGTTTCCGTTTACATTATTTAATGCCTGAAGTGATTGTGTGCCGCGTAAAAGCTTAATCAAATATTGACATCGTTTTAAATTCAGCGTGTGTGGTGCGTTGCTTAGTATAGAATCCCTTGGGTTAGTTTTCCTAGATATGCGTCTCGTAGGATAATTCTTCTGATTGTTTGACAAAGGCTAGCGGTAATAAAGTATTGGTAAAATATATACAGCGAGGACCTATAAAGTCCGTTCCTCCTTAAATTTGAGATACACTTAGGTATTTACTTTGCACTATTAAGTCCTGAAGTAAGCAGGGGAGACGGACTTTAGGTCCTCGCTTCATAGTGTGATACGGAATGGATACTCCATCAAGCATTCGGGTTCCTAGCCTTTTTTTAAATGGTAATATCTAAAAATATCTATTACTTTTTTTGAGGACTATTTATTGAAGCAAGTGACAAAAAATAACTACAAAGTGATACTAAATACACATAAATAATGTAAAGGATGGAAGTACGTATTCTCACTCAAGCAAAAGGTGTAACCATTGAGAAACCTATAGAATAGAATAGAAGAGAATAGAATTTTATTTACGGACAAGCCATTTTACAGTACACTAATTATTCTTAATCTATACATATATATATTTAGGTAGGTATGTGTCAAACCAATAAATCATATTGTGTCGGTGTCTAGACAAAGCACCTAATAAACTAAACATTAAAAGGGCCTTATTCTGTAAGGAACGAACCTTTCGATTCGGTAGAATTTCTTCGATTGTGACGTCATTTTCGGTTTGGTTTTCGCGCTACCAAACCGAAAATGACGTCACAGTCGATGAAATTTTACCGAATCGAACGGTTCGTTCCTTACAGAATAAGGCCCTGAGTATTAAAAAAAAAAAAGATAAAACAACACAACATGCTAAAATCTGTAGAGAAGGCGACTAATATTAAAAAAAAAAATATATAATAACAATAATAAAAAGTTCAAAATCACCTTAATAATAAATAGACATAACATGTGATTTTTACAAACAAGAATAATGGCCGTTTCCATCAACTATTTCAGGTGCGACGGAACTAGCTATACAAATGTTAATTTCACGAGTGTGAAACAAATTTCTGCATAAGCGTTAGAAGACACTTTAAATTATAGTGCATTTCAAGCGAATCACTAATCAGTGTTTATTGTTCGACTGTTAGAGAAATTGTAACGGTCTTACTTGCTTAATCCGGTTCATGCAGATAAATCATCAAGGCGATTATTTATCCATTTATCACTATTCACACTGGCAGCCAGGGAATTTCCACTGAAATGAAAACGCAACGATATACACACATGCAGGCGCGTTGGAGCCCGGCGAGAGTAAGAGAGGGAACCAAAAACAGGAGCTTACGAGAGAATTTTGCTCGTCCGAGGTGACTTGCAATAATTAGCAGGGGTTGATCACATGAATTGTGATCAATAATATAGACCATGTCAGGCCTCGAGACACAGAGAGTAGTAGTACTTTACTATAAATCGCGCGTACTAACGGGGGTTTTGGGGGCTTTGCTTCTGGGGAGCATCAGAGGGCGCGACGACGGCGCGAACTCATCGCTTATTCTAATGTTACTGAAAAATGTGCGTCGACTAGCTCTGCCAGGGAGCAGGTCGCAAAAACTAGGAAACAACGTGGCGGCTGACCAATCACAGCGGCAGACAGGTCCACTATACCTTATAAGGTAATGAAGAAACCTGAAATTTTATTGGTTGAAAGGGTTGTTGTTGCCGGTTTTACAGGATAAATAGTCCAGCAAAGCATCTATTTTTAGTATATTATTTTTATGGTAAATAATAGAGAAGAAAGTTATATTAAATTACAAATATAAAAATTAAACCTGTTGTGGGTTATTTCCGCAAAATTAGGAGAGCATTAACGATAAGTATTTCCTTAACTGACATTTCTCCAAAAAAAAATGGTATTTTAGGGAATACTTATCGTTAGGGCTCCCCTAAAATAGTTGGTGGAAACGAAACGGCCATACAACCACTAACAGAAACAATCATTACATCGATCTGATTTGTCTTCTGAAACCTTCCAGTCCAATATTGAAAAGATCCACATTCAATTTATCTATCATTACATTTGCAAGTCCTAAAAATCTAGTTATAGGAGAATAGTACCCATAATTAGTATGATGATATTGTACATAAATAATAGTCTATTGTTTCTTATGTTATGTGGTACATTAAAACCAACCAAAGATAAGAGCGAAGGTGACTGGATTATATTATTTACCAGTTTGAACAGAATACACAGGTCCTGATGATCTCTCCTTTGGGTAAGAGTTTGCATGTTTAAAAGTATCAAAATATCATCATAATTAATAGATTCATACCTAATATTAAGTTTGTATGCAGCATAATTTCAAATTATAATAATAGTGATCAAATGATAATCTTTCCAGAAATAAATTTATCTCCACCTCAAATTCAATCGCTAGATGCGGTTTGTCCTATTTTAACAGTGGGCTTGGACATATATTAATAGTAAGGTTTGTAACATTGCTAAATATTAAGTCCATATTGATTTGAAATCCTATTAAGTTGGGACAAATTGAGAAAGGCCATACAGTCTGCTAAACACCTGGTTTAATCAGAGCTGAACCCGCATGGTCTGCTTCCACACTCATCATCATCTATCCATGATACCTTTGGCCTGTTAAAATCACCACATAGAAAAATATCAAGATTTTCGGTGTAATTCTTTCAAAAGTATTCAACACGGAAGAACAATACCTTTCGTACCCTTCACACGGCGAGTCAGGGGAAATATAAACATTTCCGAACAAAATATGCTTTTTTTCCAACTTCACCATTATAAAGAGCTGCCCTAAAGAATCTATGTTGGATTGCAGTAATTGACACTTGTTTTTATTAACTGCAATTAACACCCCACCTTGAGACTAACGGGTCAATTCTGTGCACATCTGTAAGCAAATCTATAAATTTCTATAAGCCTATAGACACCGCAAAACGCATCGATTACCAAACACCGAATTGGAAATATTTAGGATCTTATAAGATATTTTATATTCTACAGGAAGTGCAGAATTGCAAATTGTCTATAGGCTTATAGAAATTTATAGATTTTCTTACAGATGTGCACAGAATTGACCCATTATGTACACTTGTTTTATTGGACCGATCACACCTAAATATGATATATGTGTTCTGTAGCCCTAGCTCACTATGTATCAGTGTCTTTGTTAAGGTATGTCTCTGTTAACTAGATTATGTCATAATTTTTGATAGATAGATTACATAAGAATGTTTTTATTTTAGATTTTATCCCCCTGATAATAAACACTCTGTTTTGGTTTAACACTTGCTGATTTTCCAACTAAAAATTTGATGATCTGCCGTCATTTTGAGCATCCGCATGTGAATGTGATCGTCTTGGAACATTGAAATTAAACTCGCAAAAAACTGCACCCAACGGCCAAATGCTGTTCTTGCTTACAGCCTCAGAAAACTTATCTTCTACTCCAACCTTGAAGGATTTTATTCCTCTATCACAAAAAAAAGTTCTTTTACAACTATTTCATCTTCTGCTGCCTTTAAATCACTGCATATGTATTGATGGATGTTTTCGCTTGAACAGTCTGCAGAGATTCTTTCCAGATACAGCCATTTTTTGTTAAATAATGGTACACACTTAAATTGATTTGTATTGTGTTTGTACCTAGTGAAGATAATTTGTTGGCTTGCTTGCCCAAAACTCCAGAAAAACTTTGTTGAGAAAAGTTGTTTGAACTTATTCAGAAAACTGTCAGAGGATCCTCAAGACCAAAGATTTGTACTTGTAACAACTTTTTCTTGCTAAGGCTATGGGATACAAGGTTACATCAAAAGCAACTATCCAGTACAAACAGACGACATCATTCTCATTAATAATACTACTGAAGAACTGATGCTAGAACTCTATGAAGCGTTCCTATAAGTAGGATTGAAGATGAACTTGAGTAAAACCAAAATAATTAGCCCTTTACCAATGTTGAGTGAATTTCGGTAAGCTCAGGTTTATTATAGATAGGAAGCTGAAATTTTCAGTGATCTAAAAGTTGCCATCACTGGACCAAACCTAAAGTGAAAGTGGTGAAATTGGATGAAAAATTTAGAACATTTTCCACGGTGATACCTTTGTAAATACTTTCCAAGTTTTTAACAGAACTTAATTTCAATTCAAGGAGCCCCTAATTTGAGCCCATATTTAAATACATCTAAATAAAACACAATTTAACATCTAATCAACATTTTTTAGTACCAATAAGATTTAGGAGGTACCCTATCTTCTTTTATACCCATCTTTTCCATTATATCCATTTCAAATGTGCACAATTTAGGTTCAAAAGTTATCTCAGTTACTACATCAGTTGTGGTATCTTTTGGTTGTTCCCTGTACGTGGATTTGCTTTTATAATCTATGGTTTCTTCTACAGAGGCTGGAATTGGAATTATACGGCCACTTCTTGCAGAGACTCGAACTTTTTCTCCTGCTTCAGTGAATCTAGCAGAAGTTATGAGCTATGAAAAACTAAAAACATACAAATTATTCAATTACCTCCATTCAAATTCCGTAGATTTCAAATCAGATGGATCAACTAAAGCAATATCAGTGGTAACTAATAAAGGTTGTTCTTCTTGAATATATACACCCTCAAAATCTTTTTTTTCATCTTTTCCTAAATTCTTCAGTTTACAATTTAGCCCTTCTACAAGGACCCAATTTCTTTCTTGGATTATTGTTTTAATTATGCCTTGTTTACCTTTGTCCTTACCTAGAGTATCAATGTATTAATAAGGTTTCAGCTACATAAAAACCAACCTCAATTTACCCACTAAAATCTCAACACGATCCCCCCTAAAATAGCTCCATTCCCTGATAGGCTCGACAAATATTTTCGGCGAATAAGTTTTAGGCATATTCTCGTTCTTGAATTCCATAGTCCACGGCCTGTGGACTCCCATTTTAAATTTTTTCCTTTGTAAAACGGCATTGGGTTTGTACTGGGGACCCTTGGGGTTTTTCCAGTACACTTGGTTCATGGCCCTTTCTATGTATCTTTCTGGCAAATTGCCGAATTGTTGCGACCATTTTCCGATTCTGGCGAAATTTGTAAAAGAGAATCTCATGATTTATTGTGGAGAACTAGAAGTTAGAGCTATTATTGCTAATTATTTACAACAAATATTAGAAATGAAATTATTTTAAAAGGGGCGATTTTTTTTTTGTGGTTAGGGTTAGGTTAGAAGTAGAAGAACAAATAACTGCGTTCGATAACTTGGTGCGGGAACTCGGATTGTGCGGTGTCACACAACACAGTTCCCGTTCGAAGAGTGGATAAAGTTGTAGCGTTTCGCGTGTTCGGAAAGGTGATAAGGGTTTGGTGGTAAGGTAACGCGCACCGATTTCTCGAACTAGAGTCAAACCGGGCGTTCGGTATTTTGATCTGATTTCTCCAAGCCCAAATCTGCTGTTCGTTTATTTAAAAAGTGTACCCGGTGCACTCTGATACAGTGTTCAACTGCTCTGACGGCTTGCTGGTCACGTGATTTCGGCTCTACTCAGTACGCTCTGCTCTTTGAGCAAACCGTGCGTTCGTTATTTTGGTCTGAGTTCTCCGAGCATGACTTTACCGTTCGTTTATTCAAAAAGTGTACTCGGTGCAGCCTCATTCGCGTTCGTTTATTAAAATTTCTGGCACTTTTATTTAGCGTTCAACTGCTCTGTTCCCTCGCTGGTCACGTGATTACGGCTCCGCTCAGCACGCTCTGCTCTTCGAGCAAAATACCGAACGCAAGGAAAATACTGAACGTAGGTAAGTCGAGTAAATTTATTCATTCCAAACTGTTCAGGTTTGGTAACCCAGTGCAGGATTTTATTTTACCAGGTACGATTTCAGAGCAGGAAACGAAAATACGGAACTCTAGGCCTTCCCAGACAACTTTGCATAACGCATAGCATGGCGCATAACCATACGTAGTGGTCTATGCAAAACCAGACAAAACACACAAAACCTAAACCATAAAGGCGTCAGTGTTGTTCAAGGGGCACAATTGTGCCAAAAGTGGCACTTTTCGCGCGCAAAATGCACGGTGGCACCACTTTGAAAAATTTGGCACGATTCACATTTATTATATAGGTATTATCCTTTCTCAAATTTTCAAGATGAGAAAGACTGGAGCTGGATCTGGAGCAGGATTTTTTGTTTATTTCTATTCTATTGTATTTTTTGTTCATTCTTCGTTCTATTTCTGTGCTAGTGACCTCAGTCCTGACCTGTGAGAGTTGTGGTGGATCTGTCAGGTCACAATCCGTGCACTCCGAGTGACTCCGTTCGCACTCCAGCCGTTGTCTGATTCGTTAAAAGGCAATACCCGAACGGCTGGAGTGCGAACGGTGTCACTCGGACTGAACGGAGTGTGCAAGCCGAACCCAGCTATTATAGTGAATTTAATATATGAAATATAAAATATAATCCCTGGTATTCTTTCGATCTGAAAAAACTGATTGTGATCACATGAGGTTTGTTTTATGAGGCGTCAATAAAACAGCTGGGGTCAATGAAATCGTTTTAAAACCGTACGAAAATTGTTCGGAACAAACCTCAAGTGACTCCGATCAGTTTGTTAAGATCGAAAGAATACGCCTATTATATCTTCTTCCTTTTAATCATGTGATAAAAAGAAATGGGGAAAAAGTAAAAAAATCTCCTCCCATCACTTCTTATCAGGTGGCACTATTTGGCATTAATAGTTGTATTCCTTTCACACCTAGGAGGAGCTCCGGAACAGCTCCGGGGCTTCACGCGCTTATTCCTTTCGAGAAGTGTTTGTTGCACCACGCATATGTTCCCTGCAAATCGGAGGCGACTAAGCACCGAAGCGAGTAGCTCGAGTGTTTCAAGCTCTTGAAAGGAAAACAACTATTGTGTTGCTGCAGGCACACCCGAACATTCCCAAAGAACAACCAATCAAAAATCAAATTAAGGGATTCCTCATCCTGTCATACATCATCAATTATTTTGTAGATCATGAGATGAGTTGTTTTTGTTTGTTCCGTTGTGTTTATTTGATTGCAAATTTTGATTTTTTAATTTTTTCACTGTGAATTAGGCACTTGAGGTTTCGTTAGTTAAATTGTTTTGATAACTGAACACGAACATAAATTATTAAAGGCGATTTCGGCAAGCTTTGGTTGGTATACCATTTGGTTAACCAATTGGTACCTGCAACGTCATAGTAATGACGTAAGATACCATTTTGTTCCGAATGCGTTTGGTAGGTCATGAGAGAGGAAGAGACGAGCCTTAACCTAACTTTGTGTTGTTCTTCTAGTTTTGGGAGTGACTAGGTACTGACTGCACTGACTAAAATCTATAATCACTAATCAGCACTGTCTAAACAGTACCTTTGAGTAAACTATTGGCTAACTCAGCGTTTTCTGTAAATTTAAAGCATATTCCATAATCCATTCAGCAAAAAAGTTACCCCATATCTGTCGTTCAAAGTTATTTTTTAAATGATAGTCAAACTTTTATTTGGCAGTCAAAACATACGAGAAAACAGGAAGATGAAGGCGAAAAAACAAACATATTTGCTAAAAATTTCAAATTATTATTCAAATTCTAATGAACTTCCATTTATTTACATTTCCCAGAGCAGGACAAAACGAAAATAGACGTAGATAGCGCTATACCAAATAGAAGAACCGTGCTGCTGACCACGGTATCCTATTTGACAGACCAAAAAGGATATCAAAGTCACGGTGACGACATCATTTTCGTATCCGAAATTGGTTGGTATGCATTTGACAGACCAAACAGGGTACCAAACCATGTACCAAAGCTTGCCGAAATCGCCTTAAATATAAACATGTTATGTCAAAGTCAAAAATCACGTGACTTGCAGCGACGTATTTTGATTGGCCGCGCATACCACAGCTCCATAAGTTTTTCATTGTTATGGAAAATCTTATGCAAAAGCAATATGGCTGCTCCTATTCGGCTTGTGATTGGTCGAAAGACCTTCTGCTGGACAAAGCGCACTTGGGGACACGTGCAACACAACCCACGCAGGGCAGCACACACGGAACAGTGCACGAAATTCGTTGACGAGGCCCAAGGTAGTACACACTTCACAGGATAGCCTATCCTCATAGGCCTGTGAAGGTGGTTCAAATCTCAAAATCTCAAGCACCTCATCATGCCAAAGTACCAGTGATGGCGTAATCAGCGAGTCGTTTTTCGCCTTGACGTAGAGTATTTGCACCACAGGCTATCATTCCGCTAACTTTTGCCGTAGTTCTTTTGCTTTATAAATATTCCTTCCTCTATATGCTAATCAAAATTAATAGTAGGCAATTTTTCGCGGATACTCGAGTATGCTGGATTATGGATTAGTTGTATTCCTTTCAAGAGCTTGAAACACTCGAGCTACTCGCTTCGGTGCTTAGTCGCCCCCGATTTGCAGGGAACATATGTGTGGTGCAAAAAACACTTTTCGAAAGGAATAAGCGCGTGAAGCCCCCGGAGCTCCACCACCATCAAATTCTGTGATACTCCAGGATCAAGAATGCTCAATTTCTTCTGTGAGAACAGACCGAAAATCATCTTTTCTACATTTAAAATCCACGAAAAACTTAACTCACTAGCACAGCCTGTCGCAAGCATTCCATCGAGGTCTGCGGGTGACGTTTCACTATAAACTGCTGGTTGTGACGTCACTCGTAGGCCTAGAATTTGATGGTGAGGGAGTTAAGGGAGTATGACACAATTGACACATCACATAACCCAGCAAAATCAGATTATGTTTGCTTGTCCTCCACTCTGACTGGTTTGTGATTTCTGCAGAAACAGACCTATTGTTGTATTAGGAGTAGAAGCTTTACTTTTTTTTTCTCCAAACGAATGGGGTAAGCTCGGGGGTATGTGAATGGTTGAGCGGCAGTAAAAATACGAGCGGCACTAATAGTATATTGTTGATATATTAGGAGTAGAAGCGTTACTTTTTTGTGCTGAAGCAGTAGGTTTGCGAGCCGAACGTAGTGAGGCTTGCAATACTGCTGAAGCACAAAAAAGTGCTTCTACTCCGTATGCAACACGCTATTTTTTCTCCAAACTAATGGAGGTAAGCTCGGAGGCAAGTGAATGGTTGAGCGGCAGTGAAAGTACAAGCGGCACTAAAAGTACTTCTACTGCCGCTCCAGCGGCACTAAAAGTACTTTTGCTGCCGCTGGGGTTGCCAAGCAGCATAGAATAGTATATTGTTGTATTAGGAGTAGAAGCTTTACTTTTTTGTGCTGAAGCAGTAGGTTTGCGAGCCGAACGTAGTGAGGCTTGCAATACTGCTGAAGCACAAAAAAGTGCTTCTACTCCGTATGCAACACGCTATTTTTTCTCCAAACGAATGGGGTAAGCTCGGGGCTAGATGAATGGTTAAGCGGCAGTAAAAGTACGAGCGGCACTAAAAGTACTTTTGCTGCCGCTCCAGCATTTTTACCACCTCGACAGGTGTTAACCCGCTAAATTTGCCTAGCAGCATAGAAATCAAACACCAAAGGTTTGTTTGTTTGTGTCGCAATAACTTGAAGTAAGCTGTAATATTTCATACAGTGACTAAATAAACCTATGTTATTTAGCCACTGTAATATTTCAGATTACCGTAGATAAACCATAAAAAACGCTCACAAACGTACGCCCCAAAGCAGGAAGTGCTGCCCCGCAACAACACAAACAAACAATCCCTGCGTTCGGTATTTTGATCTGAGTTCTCCGAGCTTGAATTTACCGTTCGTTTATTTGAAAAGTGTACTCGGTGCAGGCTCATTCGCGTTCATTTATAAAAAATTCTGGTTCTCTGATACAGCGTTTAACTGCTCTGTTCGCTCGCTGGTCACGTGATAACAGCTCCGCTCATCACGCTCTGCTCTTTGAGCAAAATACCGAACGCAAGGAATGAAGGCCGAGTGCAGAACATGCTGCTCTGCACAAAATCAAACCACCTAAACGTCATAACATGTCAAAGTGTCAATTGAGAATCTAGTCAATAGTTGTCAAATGTCAATTCGGTTTGATTTGATTTTCCCTTTTCATCTTTCTACCGACTTTAACGGAATTTTCAATTTCCTTTAATTTGAAAACATATTTTATAACTTTTGGTTCGTTGTTTGGTTTTGGTGGTTTGTTCATCGTTCATGTAAGTATTTACACATAGTCCTTTAGTTATTTTATTGGAGTTTTCCCCTATCTACGCAGGTACAAAAACACATGAGCCAAAAGGAAGCTCTTTTAGAACAAAAAACAAATCATAATAAAAGCAAAACATGGGCAATAACAATTATTAAGTTGTGAATTTGGTCATTTCCAATTCGAATAATCATTTTTTTAGGGTTCAATTTTAATACAATAATTTCATAACAGAAATACCTACTGCTACAAAAGGATCTTTATGACTATGCTCCAATTTAGTTTGTTTCTATTTTATTATACCCGGAAAAAACGCAAAAAAGTTTAAAATGCAATTTCACACTCCTTTTGGACACTTTCTCTTGACATTTCAACAAGCTCTGTGACAAATTTGGACCATTTTATGGTTTTTCAATACCATTTTGAACCAAAAATACTCCAATAAAAGGTCTGTATGACGAAAAGTTTCAATTTAGGTTGTTTTTCCATTAAACGCATACTTAAAGTCTATTTTGGAAGGGTTTTGAATGAAAAAAAGTGGAAAATTGTTGACAATGTCGTTAAAATCCAATTTCATGCTATTTTCTGCTCAAGATCAAATCAAATCAAATCAAATATGCTTTATTGTCAAAAAAACAATTGTTGTAGACAAAGCCAAACTTAGTGCTAAGAATATAAACTATACAAGCATACTATATAAAATAGAATAAAATAATATGTTACAAACAAGTTCAAACCACAAGACAAACACAAAAACGTAAATGTAAAAATCTAAAAATGGTCAAGGAAGTATTCCTCCATGCTATAATATGCCTTTTCAAGCAACAACATTTTTACCTGTTGTCTAAATAATCTGTATGACACTATCTTCCGAATTGACATTGGTAAGTGATTAATAGTTATTTATGATATAAGTGTTAAAAGTACATTTTTAAGGCACGCATGTGAAAGTTGCAGAATGAGCGAAGCGAATTCTGCAATTCACATAAGTGCCTTAAAAATACTTTTAACACAAATATCATACAATATTTTTCCTACAAACGGCAATAAAAAGCAGTAACCAGTAACACATTCGATTTTTAAATGAATAATAAATTGGAAGCATCTTTCCTACATAAAATTATTGAATTTGACATTTGTCAAAAAGTTCAAACAACCAGCACCTTGTTTTACAGGTAATGAAATGTCTTGTCAGTTTCTTGAAAGACTGTCGTGGTTAGTAATGCTTTTTGCTTAAAATGCAACAAAATACAGAAGAAAAAGAGGGTTGCATCGATCCCTTGAAAAATATAGATGAGGCGGCCAATCCGGCTACCTCAGTTGTTCAAATTTCACCATTCATATCAATGTAAATAACTAAAAATACAAATTTTTTTTGACGTTCGCTCTCAAAATTTGATGTTTCATTTTTAACACTAGTGCTATAAAGACTTTATGGCACTAGTGCGATAAAGTAACATTTTTAATGCTTCGGAAGGGTGTTAAAAATTGCATTTTTAACACGTTTGTAGAAAAAAATCTTTTTGCTTTTATAGAAAATCGAATTTTGAGTCAGTGTCAATTTAGGAATTGGCAAATTTATATTAAAAGATGAGCGGGTATTATTTGTGTTTAAGGAGTGAATGATGGAGGAATGCTTCTTATGCATCAGACAGACAGTTTCCAGTATAATAATTGCTGGAAGAGTCAAAATTCGTTCACTAATAAAATATGGTTTACACGACGTCCTAAAACTAAGCCCGCACAGGCACCTTAGGGCACGCTTCTGTAAAACAAACAAAGAATTCAAAAGATAAGCGGATGAATTACCCCAATAGCATACACCATATCTTAGATGTGACTCAATTAAAGCAAAATACGCATCTCTAGCCACTGCAACATTCAGGTCACTCCTAATTGTTTTTATTGCAAAGCAGCCTGATGCTAGTTTCGAGCACAGCTGCTCAATGTGTTTGTCAAACCCTAACCTATCGTCGATAACTAAGCCTAAAAATTTATTATAATTTGTCTTCGTGACTGGCTGAGAGTCTAAGCAAATATCATTTAACATACACTTAAAATTTAAAATATTTGTCTTTGATACATTAAAAGACAAACAGTTGCTGTCACACCATCTTTTCACACTAGCCAGATCCTGGGTTATCATTTCACTAAGATCATGTGGATCCTTGCTATTTCAGGAGAAAAGCTAAATCGAAGCACTTCTAAGAAAAATCTGTTTTGAATGAAGAAAGGTGAACAATCTCAGACAATGGGTGGTATGAATAAAAACGAAGTACTTGCTACTACTACAAGTATTAGTATGTTCTATGTAGTATTGACTCCAAAACGAAGTAGATACTACATTTCAAAACTACCGGAAATTAGTAAATGCTTCTTTGTGAAGTAAATACTCCGAAGAATATACTTATACTTATAGTAGTAGTAGGTACTTCGTTTTTATTCATACCAGCCAATGGGTGGTATCGAGGGTGGTATGAATAAAAACGAAGTACTTGCTACTACTACAGGGAGTAGTATATTCTACGAAGTATTTACTTCACAAAGTAGCATTTACTAATTTCCGGTGGTTTCGAAATGTAGTATCTACTTCATTTTAAAGTAAATACTACGGAGAATATACTACTACCTGTAGTAGTAGCAAGTACTTCGTTTTTATTCATACCACCCAATGTCTTTAAAATGCAGTTCTGCACAAGATTCAAAATCCTATGCGTATCTTGAAAAGACAGAATACAGTCAATACAGTGTGTTCATTTTAAAGCTTACCACTCTATTGTCTTTAATAACTGTGTTAATAAATAAAATTTTTAATAGATCTAATCAGGACACTGAGAATTGAGAAGCAAGAACTCAATACCAGCCGAGGTCAAAAGCAAACCCTTGTATAATTTAAAAAATCAAGTGGAAAATATCAGAAAATATCAATGGTTGTCCGGGGGCAGTCAACTTCCTCAAAATGTGTACACCGATTTAAAATTATCATTGATATTTTAACTGATTTAGGTGATTTGATCAGATTTAAGAGATTTTTATGCAAGCTTTAACTGATTTAAGGTAATTTAAAGATTCATTTGATCATTTAATAGTTATTTATATACCAAGTGAGTTATATGTCTACGGTCGTTATTAAGCCTAAAGTAGCACAAAACACTCAGAAGAGCAAGAAGGATATCCAGGATTCGATAAATCCAGCAGAGTTGAAGCTTGGAATCAGAAACCTGAAAGAAACAAGACAAGGAAACATAGTGGTGACATGTGAAACAGAACAAGACATGAAATTATTTAGGGAAGAAGCTGAAAAGAAATTAAATAAAAACTACAAAGTTGAGCTTCCGAAAAAAAATTTACCCAAATTAAAAATTGCGGGTTATTCAGGAGATCAATTGAGAATTTAGAAGAAATGATTCGCAAGCAGAACAAATGGATTGATACATCAGACCACCTTAAAGTCACTTACGTTAGACGCATAAAAAATTAAAATAAAAATAATAAAAATAAACCGATCTCAACAATATACGCCGAAACTTCGGGGAACCTTTTGGAAAGGATGCTAACCTATGGAAAAGTTTACGTAGACTGGCAGCGCCTGCCAGTATATGAGGACCTGACAGTATCTCGCTGTTATAAATGTCAGGGTTTTGGTCACAAAAGCTCCAACTGTACCAAAATGGAGGTCTGCGGAAATTGTGCAGGGAATCACAATACACTTGGATGTGAGAGGCAAATGAAAAAGTGTGTAAACTGCAAGATGGCCAATGAAAACCATAACCTACAGATAAGCACGGATCATTCAGCCCTTGACCCAGAATGTTCATTGTTAAAATACCATCTAGGACCATTACAAAACAGAATCGACTACAACTCATAAATAAATGGTATACAACGCTCAGGATGAGATGTTGGAACAATTAGGGGAAGAAAATAATCTACAAGGTAAAATGGTGGACCAGAAGGGTCTAGAGCTTATCAAAAATAAAAAAAATGCTTTTTTTAGTCTAATACATTTTAACATTAGAAGTCTAAATAAAAATATTGACAACTTGCTTACTTTTATAGAATTATATAAATTACACTATATAGATATCATTGTGCTCACTGAAACCTTTCAAATTGACTCGATAAAAAACTGTAACATACCGGATTATCAGATATTCTATAATGAAGCTAGTTACAACAAAAATGATGGCACAATAATTTTGGCTAAGAAACATATCGATGTTAAATTTTCTATTACTCAATTGCAAAATTCAAGAGCGACTCTCAGTCACATAAATTTTGAACAAAACAACATAATATTTGGTATAACAGCAATATACAAACCACCACCTATCTCAAGGACAGATTTTATGAATGATATATATACCTATTTTGAAACTTTGACCTTTTCAAATATTGAAATTTTTGTGGGAGATGTCAATATTAACATTTTGGAAAAAAATGATAATCACGTTGCAAACTATCTCTCTTTGATGAACACACTTGGTTTTCGATCATACATTAATTCAGTTACGAGACTTTTATCAAAAACATGCCTAGATCATTTATTCATTAATACGAAATTGAAGTCTGGTAATATTAGTTTTGACTCTTATGTTATTGAGGAAGACATAACAGACCATAGCCCCATTGTGCTTCTGGTAAGTAAGAAAAAAATATCTTATGATAATCTAATATCTCCACTAGAAAGTAAAACGAAAACTAAGCTGAACATTCCTAAATTTAGGCAACTTTTGCAAAGTTTTGATTGGACGATTGTAATGGATAGTAATAACTCAGAAACGGCAACAAATATTTTTTTTAGAAAATTATACCCAATTGTTATCAGAAGCCACAGAAAAATATACTATTAAATATAAAAAATACAGAAAAATCAAGAGTTGGATTAGCAACAGTATTATTTCTGCAATTAAAACTAGAGATAAAATGAAAAAAAAAAACTATCGAGAAACTATAGCCATCAATTAGAAAAAGAATATGAAGAGTATAGAAATACTTTAAATAAATTAA